AAAATATACTAAAAAAAAGATATACTAAAGAAATAGATACTAATAGAGTTATATATATCAGAAATACTTCTTATACAACTTTAACAATTTATCACATAACTAAGGTAAAAAGAAAAAAAACTAATTAAAAATAGAACATAGTATTCTTTCATTATTTTCAAAAGTATATAGAACAAACTTTCAAATATGACAACAATACTAACAAACTTAAAGTCAACTATTCAATCACTTTTATATAAAAGTGAATTCAAACTATTTACAATAATATAAAGAACTACAAAACAGTAGTCAAAAACATTGCATATAAAAGACAAGTCACTGTTATCAAGAAAAGAATTTAAATTAAATAAGAGTATTTTAATATCAATAAGAGAGCAATGATAGATATTATTTTAAATTGATCCAGAAAATATATATACTTAGATAGACTAAGTATACAATAAGAAAACATTATGCAGATTATTACAAATTTCAAAAAAATAAATAGAGAATAAGCGATTATTTTTATAACTAAACTATATTTAGAAGGATATAAGATCTGAAAAATATTTATATTGATAAAAAGAATATAGATTGAACTCAATATTAAACAATATCTATACAAAAATATAATTAAAAAAATTTTAATATAGGAAATAAAAGAAATAATTGACCATATAACTCTAAATTTACATTAGATTCAAATTAAATTCTATATATAGTATTACTTATATAAATATAAATAAAAAGATTAAAAAAGAATTGTATCAAATTTTTAATACAATTATCAAATAAGAAGTTATATTAAAGGGAACATATATATTCAATAATAAAATCAAAAAATTGAACAAATAATCTTGATTTTTTTTTTAATACTAGCTTATTCTTGCATTAATATAAACATATTTTATTAAAACAAGTAGATACCTAGAAACAATCAGAATGAATAATTACCCATATTGTCTAAGGATTTACAGATCAATAAATAGTACAGAGAGCAAACTATTTACATCTCATCCAATCAGAATAAGATAATTACATGACTATTTAGTGTAGGAATACTATTTACTAAAACAAAACAAGGAATAACATTGAGTAAAAAAATTTTTTTACTATATAATTTACAAGATTACACCGGTATACTCTAGAGATATAACAAAACATAATCCACTGAGTGGCTTATTACTACTTCAAATTTTATAAGAAGGGGTTAATATGTCAAGTATTCACCTATGATATCCATTACTTCCAATATTGGAAATTCCTCATGTAGAGCTTTAACTTTACTAGTATTAATCAAAAATTTTTTTATATCATGTTGTTGTTAAGAGAGTATTTGGAAAGACTATTTAGTTGCTTAATGAATCAAGGGGTTGTCTTTTTAATGTGTTAGTACCAAGTAATCAAAAACTTTCCTAAAGAATCCTACATCTTGTGATTTTTTTTTTTTTGATTGTATATGCTGGAAAAGAGAAAAACGAATAGAGGAGGATTATTGTTTGCTATCCAATAAGTTCTAATCCAAGTTTCTTTATTCTTTCCATATAGCCAATGACATCATAGATTTCATGTTTTGTATCAATTTGTATAACTGGTTTGCAACTTATGATGGATCTCAGGTTCTTATGGGAACTAAAAAAATATATTTCGACACATAAGGTGATCAATAGGAATTTGTTTATATCTTGGATCACTAATATGTTTCTATTATCCAATTATTGCACTAGAAACTTTATGCTATTCAAAATTCAGAGTCAAGCTGAAGTAAGTAAAATTCTTCAGAAAAAATCATGAAAGAGTACTATTAGAGCTCTATAATAACAAGAAAGTAATAAGATTATCTTCTAAAGAGCCTCTCATCACAAACTAGACTCTGTAGTATTTCTATGGCAGGTGAGAGGGGGATAGAGAAGTTAGGTCTACTTCCTTTCAAAACTTTCTTGCCATTAATAAGAAGGGTAAAGTTGTCTTCCTGGCCACTAAAAAACAAGTTTTTTATAGCAAGCTATAAAAAAGATAGTAGGGTTATAAGGTGACTCTTGAGAACTTTGTTCTTAAGTTAATTTAAAGAAAGTAATAAGACTTTATTAGCCTTGAAATATAAAACTTTTTGTAAATGTTTTTTTTGTATATGTTCAGAGGATTAGCGAAAAGAGTCTTAATAACAAATAATCTTGATATTATTAGATCCATTATATTATTAAATGAAAAAAAAAAAATCTTTATCAAAATTATTACAAACAGATTGGTTAAATATTTGATTAACAAAAATATACTATCAGATTTAAACTAGGTAAAACTTCCTGACAATAGTATACAAAACTTAATTTATATACTGAGCAGTATTATAAAATATATAAAAGAACACAACTACAAGCTTGAATTTTAAGCTATAATATATCAAAGATATATAACTTAATTAATTTCAATATTAGAGTGTAACAAATAATTGAGAATGAAAAAGTTGTCTCTTGTTATTATAGACATTTTGTATTGTTTTTCCACAGTATGAGATAACTATACATTAATTTTTTTTTTTCAAAATTTTCTTGCTATTGATAAAAAGGATATTGTTTGATTTTCTGACCACTAGCAGTTAAGTTTTTGTTTGAAGAGAAGTATTAATAAGAAAGAGGAAGAGTAGAAATAATTCTTGAAATTTTCTTCAAGTTGATTTAGAGAAAATAATAAGACTTTGTTAACAAAGAAGTATAAAAACTTCTTACAAATTTCTTTTTATATATAATCAGAGGATCAATCTTTTTTGTGTATAATTAGAGTTGAATATGATTTTAAAATACAAATATAATAAATATTTTATATATATAGTATTATTATATTTATACAGTATATACAACTCTTTTTACTAATCCTCTGACCACACACAAAAAGGATGCTCGCAAGAAGTTTTAATAATTTTATGCTAATAAAGTCTTATCACTTTTTTTAAATCAACTCAAGAGTTCCTCTAGAACTCTCTTATCTTCCTCCCTCTCTTTCTCTTGTTTACAATTTTCTTTGAACAAATTGGACTCCTATGACCTGTAAAGTTCAACTCCCACCTTTACTACCTATGGCAAAAAAGTTTCTAAAGGAAGAAGGATTAACGCTAAAATACCTTTCACTTTTCAGTTATGGTGAAGATAACAGAGGTAACGTTCCAGTCAAAGGACTTATTTTTCTACCCTTTGACTGGTGTCTGTGACCTTTTAGAGCTACCTTTTTCATAGTTTTTTAGGGAATTTTGCCTATCCCAGCTTGACCCTAAAATTTTGGGTAGCACAAATCTCATCAACTCTGATTAGTTTATATGAAACATGTTAGACAAGATTGATAAACAAACTCCTATTGGTTATCTCATGTGTCTGAATGCATTTCCTCAGTTCTATAAGAACCTGAGGTCCACCATAAGTTACATATTGTCAGTGCGAATGGATATAGGCATGCTACCGATATATCATTGGTTCCTTCAAGAAAGAGTCCATCCGACTATAGTAAAGGTCATAAGATGCTGCATTTAATTTTTGGAGATGCAGTCATCTATTCCTGGTCATCAGATAAGTTCCCCTAGCTTCATTGAATAGGTAAAAACTTGAAGATAGAACACTGGTTCTTCTATTGATTCCTTGGCTCAGCTTTTAGGACACAGAGAATGGAGTGATAAATAATGACCTTTATTGCACTGTTATATAACAACAAGAATCAAAGAAAATGATTTGTGAATTGGCCTATTGGTATAAATATATACATCCCTACTCCTAACCTCTTCCAGTTTTCAAATGAGATTGAACTCTCCCTTTGCTTTTCTCATATCTCTCCAAGAAAGTGACTTAGTAGTTATTCTAAAGACTTTCCCTTCCTATTGAATATTAGTATCTTACTCCCATGTATGATTCGCACTGATATTTTGGGTACTCCCTTAAAGGAGCACAAGTCAGCTACCAAAGGCAATGGCTGAGATTTTCACATTTTTCAAGAACCTAGGTAAAGGTATCTGAAGCACAACTAATATTGCGCAAAATTATTGGAGGATCTGAAATATAATCAAATCATATACTGGTGTTTTCACTATCATATATAAATGGGCATTTGGTACTACTTAAGAGGTTTTAATGAATCCCTTGAACAAAATTTTCTTCCTCCTGTATAAGCCGCACAGCAAAGAATTGTATATATAGATTAACTATCCCATCCACTTATTTATTTTCCGACCTCCTTTTTCTCTCTCTCTTAAAAAATTTTTTTCAGCACTAGTGATCTTTCACTAGTTCTCACTCTAGAGACAGCAACATGCCCAAAGTTGACCAGTATAGTCATATCATTAGCTTTATAGGTTTATAATTATATTTTTAATATGTACTATATTCACATTTAAAACTATATCCAATAAAACAAAGGCTGAGCTGGCATTTAAAAAATATATATATATATATATATATACAGTATAATGTTACATAAAAATCAGCTTTTTTTAATTATATTCCGATTACCTATTAACCCACCTGTATTACCACCGTACGGCGTTTGCATAACAAAAAATCGATCACAAATTTTCGTCGCGTAATTATTTTTTTTTTGTGGCCACTGCAAGATGTCATGTAGTGTTTCTAAATCAAACCTTAAAAGTCTAGTTTATTTGATCGTGTAACATTTTTTTTATTTAATAAATAATCGCGTTTTGATTGTTACATTACGAACAATGCAATGCACTGTATTGAGGATAGCCAAAACGTAGACTCCCGAGAAACTGTCACGTGACAACACAAAAGATTTTTTAAATGTACAATAAAAAATTTTTTATTAAAAATTAAATTTATTACATGACATAAAAAGAATCTCTTTCGAGATAAAAATGTAAGTGTATTAATATTATTTTGATTGAGAATTGGATATAAATTTCCTGCATAGGTCGTAGTAATTCAATTACTACAGATATCAACTTAATAACAATGTTGTCATCAAGACAAATCGAAACTGAGTCGGTTAGAGGATAAATGCAATGACTTTTTTTTTTTACAAATCTAAAGTGATTGGGATTTCTCTAATTTTGGTCTCTTCTTTTGTGCCTCAAGGAAAGCTGCACGCATTTTGAAATAATCTTTATGTAATCCGCATTCTGTTTTGGTTTTTCCTTCCCATCTTCCACCACGCTCGTTTGATGGATCATTGGTTGGCTTGGTGCTGTGCCAATCTCCAATTGACCGGTATCCTTGGTCCAAAAGTTTGTTATATGGTACCTACGTTGTTAAAGTTTAAACAATTAACCACTGTTCACCGTTCAAATAGTTGTAATTACAAATTGTTAATGTAGTTTTTAACCCACCTCATTAGCACGGATATAAGTTATAACTCTCGTAAAATCCCAGTTAGCAAGTGGGTTCAATTTTAGCAAACCGGTTTTCTCTTCTATTTCTAGAATATTAATATGTTCACGGTCTCCTCTTTGACTTCGACGACGTCCAGTTAGAACTGCCTTGACTCCTAATTCTTTGTAAGCTCTTCTCGCGGGTTCGACTTTAACCAAATAGTCATAAGTAGCTTCATCAGTCTCCCAGAGCCTTGTACCATAATTTCGTTCAAAATCATGAACGTTATCACAATCAAGTGGTTTAAAAACATTTAATTTTGCCTTATATCGGGAAGAAGCATTCTTCGCGAGGGACAAAGTTTCGGGAAAATGATAGAGTGTATCAAGAAAGATAAGTGGGACCAAATGTTGCGGTTCAGACTCGTTTTCTTCAGCATATTCTTGGCTAATTTTTGATATCATATCCAAAATTACAAGGCCTAAAATACAAAAGAATTGTCAGATGGTTTCCAACAAAAAGAAACAAATCAATATACAAACCTGTAAGACCAAAAGATGTAGTTTGATATAAATCAGGTAAAGTAACCATCGCCCATTCGATGATTTTTTTCGGAGGCAACTTTGCCAATGTCATATTAAGGTGCTTTAAATGTCTTTCGTCATATAGGAATTGAAGTTGTTCTTCAAATTCAAAAGAATCGTTGGTGGAATAAGTTTCGGGTGCCATTTTTAAAACTCAAGGTTTTTGATTAAAAAACAGATACAATTAATTATTCTGAAAACTAGATGTTAACTACGCAATGCTTGTGTCGAACGCTTGATTTTATAATCATTTTCGTAATTCTCTATACAGCCAATGAAATTAGATCCTGATGGCGTCAATCAGATTAAAACTTTGGTGATGGTCTAATTTGGTTAATTAGTTAATCATACATCAAATTATTAATGACCTATCGTGATTACAAATAATCTTATCATAAGAATCTCATGGAAAGGGTAATCTTTTATTGGATTTGACCTTATACAGTTTCACGTGAGTTATCTGTATTTGTTTATTTTTTTTCGCAGAATCGTGGACAGACGGCAAACGCAGTATACTGTGGTAATCAAAATTTTTTTAGCTGATTATAAAAATAAAAAAAATTATTATTATTATTTTTTTTTTGCCCTCTGTCAGGCTAGTTACATATGCTTTATTAAACATTTGTAAGCTGTACATATAACATGAGATGCTAAAGCTAATTCTTTAATCAATTCACTCGTCTTGATTGTTTTACCTTTCTAAGTGCAACTTCAGGAATAATTTATCACTCCATTAGAAGTTCAGGTAAATATCCTAACATCATTACCTGCAGATCACTATGCAAATAAAATAAAAAATTATATTATTTTTGCTATTTATAAAATATTATATTGTTTAAATTTTTATTTATTAAA